CAAAACACACAGAAATCCATCCTATGTGCCCAGAGCAACTTCTTTGTCTTCTTGCTTCCCAATACTCTCTTTCCAGTCCCAAACCTCACTGGTTCCTAAATACTAGGATGCAACACCTATTCTGTTTCTGTATCTCTAGGCCCATGTTCTTCCTCAGGCTCCATGTGTCTGGAGGTTTATCTGATATCTCTCATGCAACTCCAGTATTCTAAGAGCCCCTGCTTCATACTCATGATCAGCAGTTCAGCCACCTTTTCATGCCAACCTAGGTTCTCAGCCGGCTACCACCTCCTTAGGACCTAACAGAAACTTAGCCATGGTAACTTCCAGGATCCGTCTCTACCTCTTGCTTTCAGGCATGGTTCTCCATACCCCTTCCCCAAATCCCAGCCATGGTCCTTTCCCAGTTTCTCATTCACCCTTCCTGGGTCTTTGCCCACACTCTCTTACATGTTGGGGAAACTTCTTCTGATCCACAGAGTGTACCCTCATTAACACTATATTCTCTCGACCATCTGTCAATTGCCTGTGCTTTAAGTCAAGGCCAACCTCTCAACTAGGGCACTCACCCTCATCCCCTCTTCTCCACACTGGGACATTTTTCCAGGACTTCTACCCTTTCTCTCTTGCATCATCAATTTATTCTTCTCAGTTGGATCTTTACCATTAATATCCATATGCTATGTCTCCCATCTTTAAAAAACCACTCTCTGGATCCCACTTCCCCATCCAGCTATTGCCTCATTTTTCTGCACCTCTGTGGAGCAAAGCTCCTAGAAGGAGTTGACTATACTTTTGATCACCAATTGCGCTCCTTCCATTCTCTCTCGAGACCACTCCAGTCACACCTTCACCTCCATCACTCACCTGAGTCTTCTCAATATCATGGATAGTCTCTATGTTGCCAAATCTAATGGTCAACTCCGAGTCTTCATCTTATCAGACTGGTAGCTTGTCATGCATTTGATTATTTTCTCCTTGAAATACTTTTGTCTCTTGGCTTCTAGTATACTTTTCTGGTTTTCCTCCTGCCTTACTGGCTGTTGCTTCTCAGTGTCCTCTGCTTACTGGTTCCTCCTTTTCCCCCCAATTTCTTAATGTTGGTGAGTCTCAGACCCCAGCCATTTACCTCTCCTTTATTTACACTTACTCCCTTGGTGATCTTATCCACTGTCATGGTTTTAAATATATTCACTCATCTCTCTTATTTTCTTCTCTCCTCCTTCTCCTCTGCTCACTCTTATCTTCTCTCTCTCTCTCTCCAGGACCCGTCCTGAGGATCACTCAGGCTGTATTAAGAATAGACTGTTGGGGGTATGGACTTGGGAAGAAGCAGAGAGATTAGTTATGACGTTATTGCAGTAATGGTTGCAGCAGAGGTGGTGAGAAGGGTCAGATTCTGGATTTATTCTGAAGGTGAAGATAACAAGAGGTGCTGACATATTGAATGTGGTTAGGGAAAAAAGGATGACACCAATGTTTTTGGTCTGAATAACTGAAAGGATGAGTTGCCATTAACTGATGTATGGGATATTGCATTTGGAATAAATTTGGTGTGATTGGGTTGTGGTGGGGGGTGGGGAATCAGGAGTTCACTTTTGTACAGTTGGAGATGAATACTGGACACCAACTATATTTGTTGATTAGGCAACTGGGCATGTGACACTGTCTACCCCATGTTGACTGCTATATCTTGCATACTGCCTGGAACATTGTTGAATGTAAAACTTAGCTCAAGGTCATTTTAATTGTGACCCTTCTGAGGTCCTCTTCACGAGCTGAGTACTTCCTCCTGTGGCAGGCTCCCATATCTCATAACACTCATCACACTGATGTAATGATTTGTTGTCTTCACACTCCAGACTATGGATCAACTAATATTACAGTATTACCATGTGCTGGCCACTATCCTAGGCCCTGAACCTAGACATTATTGTAATAATTCAGGAAAGAAAGGATGAGAAACTGAACTACAAGCAAAGGCAGTAAGAATAGAGGACGGCAGCAAAACTGAGCGATATCAAGATTAGATGACTTGATGTATGGGCTGAGCAAGAGAGTAGGTGGATAGTGACACCATTCCCTGATGTTAAAAAACAGTTTGGTGGGATGGAGGGCAAGTATATGGAAAATTGTAAATTTGTGGTGTCTTTGAAGCAAGGTGGAATTTCTCCCTGGCTGTTGGTTGTACAGGAGCACTGGTGGCGCAGTGGTTAATCACTTGGCTGCTAACTGAAAGGTTGGCAGTTCAAACCCACCAGCTGCTCCACAGGAGACATATGTGGCAGTCTGCTTCTGTAAAGATTTACAGCCTTGGAAACCCTATTGGGCAGTTCTACTCTTCTGTAGGGTCGCTATGAGCTGGAATCAACTTGACAGCTATGTTTTGGCTGTACCATCTGGAGCTCAGGGGAGAAGACTAGGTCAGAGAAATGGCTTTGGGAATCATCAATACATTAGTAGTAGTAGAGGCTTTGGATATGGATAAACGTTATCCCCATTTCCCAGATGAAGAAACTGAGGCTTAGAAATGTTAACTTGTCAAATGGCAGACCTAGGATTCTAACCCTGTTGATCATCTTCCACATTCCATCCTTTTGAATTAGACTTTAAAACCTGCATCCTTCCCAAGGTCAGACATTTTGGCCCCAAAATTAGAAAAACACTTGCTCAAGTATTTGTAATGTTTTTCTTGAGTTGTGGTTTTGCTGCCCTTTGCCTCTGTTTATTATCATTTTGTCCTAAAATCATTCTTTGGCCCCTTCAACTAGAAGTTTTATTCCAAAGGGGAGGGGATGAGCCAAATTTTTCACCCATACTTAACCTTCTACTGAGTGGAGCAAACACAGCCCTGTGCTGTTTTACCATGGTCTTCTTAAGAGGTCCAGAGGTTCCAGTCTTCCTCCTTAGGGAGACCAATGCCTGCCCCAGTCAAGGTAATAAGAGAAGCAAGTACAGGGTCATTTGGGTCTCCTCAGGAGTTCAAGGGAATATGAGCATGATGGTTGCCAGTAAGAGGTCTGACTCTGTGGCTAGGAATACTGAGGTTGCCTTTGGTGGTGGATTACCCACCTGGTGATGGTGCTGGGGGAGGGGGCGCAGACTGGCTTGAACAGGAGACAGGAAAGAACTCTAGGAGTCACTGTATGGTAAGCTGAGAGGTCTCCTAAAACAGGTTCGTAGGAAGAACATAATTTAGTCTCTGTGTGAGGGAGGGTGTCATAGGACATAGTTTGGAGGGGCTTCTATTTCCTAGCAGCTGCTTACAGACTCAGCTTACCTCTCAGCCACCCTCTTAGTTTCTCCATTTCACTTCAAGAGTTTCAGACAATTACATATAATATTTCCATTAATAGTAAACATTTTTCCCTGAAATAGCAAATCATTGGACACTACCAGAGAGAGGCAAAAGGGCCAGAGTCCCACTTCAGTTCTGAGCTGCTGAGCCAGCTGTTAAAGACTCACGTGGAAGTACATTCTAGATTCCTGTTCACTTGTTGGTTAATGGGCAGGACACTTTCCAAAAGCCTTATAGTCTTCTTTTGGCAGTCAAGGTAAGTGGTTTTGGTGTTTTCTCAAATAATGTGGAACATGCAAAGAGATAGGGAAGGATAATAGGGAACAAACTTAAATTGAGAAGGCTGGCACTAGGAGGGTGATATGGTGCAGTCCTTAGTGGAGTAAAGGGCAGGAGTCATCCTCTGAAGGGAAGGCAGATCCTGCGAGGGATTTAGTTGACTGAGTTCAGCACCATTGCTTATTATGGAAGTATATTCAGGAAAGCAAGGCGGGAGGAAAGGAGGGTGGTGGAGAAGGACCTCAGGTGTAGGTAGTGTAGAAATGAGACACAGCAGCAGGTCCAGGGCCAAGGTGCTGGCAGTAACTTGACAGGCTGGGATATGTCTAGAAAACCCCTTGTGTTTTCTGTGGTTCTTTCCCAGAAACATCAATGCTCAGCTCACTGCTCACATTACACTATCTGCAAGCAGACTGAAACTCAGAGTTTACTCACCTCCCTTCCTCAAGAGCACTCGGGCCTTGGGTTGGCTTCCTGGCTCTGGGCTTTTTTTTTTAGTGCAAAGAAAGCCAGCTTTTCTTCCTTATCATGCCCTGGTCAATAATATCACACACTGTCCCAGGTATTCACACCTCCATCTACATTCTCTTCCTACCTGCCTCATTTCCTTGGGGGTCAGGGACAAACACCTCTCCACTTCCTACTCTGATTCATTCATTCTAGGAGGCATTCCTTCTATGCAGCTGAGAGCCAGTGGAGGTGGGAAACAGGCAACAGGGCCACAGCAAGCTCCCAGATTGGTTCCCCATAAAGATCTTGTTAGTACCAACAGAGAGCAGAGAGGGGAGATTCTATGTTTTGGTTTTGACATCTGTCATACTAACTGCTTTTGCAAATCACAAAAGCACCTCTTCAAGGATGGAGCACTGTAGCACTCCCCTAAAAACCTTCCCGCCAGATTGTGGGGTTATGTGGGCCAACACTGCATTGATTTCTTCACCACTCCTTCTGTTCAGTGCTATCATCATGTCCACATTGCTCCTCTGTGGTCCAAGGTCATTATGGGAAGCCATGATTGAATTCCAGCCTGACGTTTACCCTCAGTGCACCTTAGACAAGGGTCTTGCCTTCTATGTTCAAGTCCCTTTATCCACAGTCCAGCGTGGGGCTGGGAGGAGTTGTTTGCAATGGTGGCCCATCTGAAAAGTGGGTTTAAGCTTTTTCCCCAGATAGGAATGACCTTTAAATCTCCCTCATGCATTCCCTTAACACACCACAGTGGACATTAGAAGGAGCAAGCAGACAGCTCTTTGCTTACAGATATATTTGGAAGTGGCACTCTGTCCTACTTGCACCTTAATGAAAATGACAATCCCAGTCCTCTTCAAGGTTGCAGAGGTTTGAGAACCTACAAACTCTCTTTGAATGCACTGGGTCTTCTCCTTGAAGAGACTATGTTTCTCTCTAAGGTGAGGATTGGGACCTAGGGGGGGTTTCCTGGTTGGGTGGCACAAGCCACTCGAGGGCAGTGCCGAGGACAGTGGCGGGGATGGCCCAGGAGAGAGGCAGAGTGAAGTTGATGGGAACGGTGCCGGAGCTGATTGACTGGGGCGTGGGGGCCATCCAAAAAGGCCAGGCCCACCTGCTTCTCGGTGGGGGAAGATTGGGCCTTGGGGTCCCCTGTTGTCTTCTCTGTCTTAGCTCTTCCCTTAGGGCCTTTGGCTGGGGCCAGGCTCTTCTCAGTATTTTTTTTTCGTGTTTTGGTAACTTTCTCTGCTGGAGAGAGCATGGATTCTTCACCCACTTTGCCTTTTGACTTGGGATTAATAGAGTGCAGGAAGTGTTTCATTTTATTTCTTAAACCAGATTCTGGAAGGCTGGGGCTCTTGTGGGTATGGGCTGTTGTCACCTGATCCTGCAGAATCTGATCCCGCAAAGTTTGGCCCTGCAAAGTCTTACCCTGAATAAGTGGGCCAAACAAAGGCTGGCGCTGTGAAGCCTGGAACACCACAGGCTGGGCAGTCCCAGGAATTCTTGTTGGTTCTGTAATGAGATTCAGCTTAGTTTGACTATCTTGCAGATCATTCTTCTCAGATTCTTTATGCCCAGGAACCTCTGGAGGTAGCTCTGGGAGCTTAAGCTGACGACAGTGCTTGGGATTCTGCTGACAGGAGGCAGCAAGATCAAAGCTATGGCTCCTTCGCCAAGGACCACGGGGTGTCCTGTTCAGAGGTGTGCCTGCTGGCCTCTGGTCTTCAGCAGGATGTCTGTTTTCTCTGGTTGAGGGGAGCCCAAACCCCGCATCCCCTTCCCCGTGGTCCCCTGCTGGTTTGGGTTTCCCTGGTTTCTCTTTCTTCTCTGCCAGTGTGGGTACTTGGGCTGAGTCCTTGCTCTTGCCAGGGCCTTCGGACTCAGGGCACCAGGCCTCCTCCAGTCTGGGGCTGTTCACTCTGGCTTCTACCTGAACACAAAGCACCTGGGCATCTGTCATGTCCCTGCTGAGTTGTGAGATCTTGGAGATCCAGTGGGCAGAACCATGGGGCACTGCTCTGGAACTAGCTTGCTTCTGGCTCTGCTGCACTGCCTTTAGCTCAATGGCCAGCTGTTCTTTAAGGCAGACTAATTCTGGATCTGGGGCATGTGGAATGTCTAGTGGGATGGGGAGTTCCTGGAGTGATGTTTTCCCTTGGTTGTTTAGACTTCCAAGTGCCTCCTGTGTAGATATGTGCTCTAGGACTGCTACAGTTTGGTCCCTGGACTCCCTTGCCTTTATGGGAATTCCCAAGTGTATCTCTAGGACCTTTTTTCTCAGATGGAAATTTAGTTTGGTCAAGATGGGTGTTTTGAGTGACTCTGGTATACCAGCATCTGTCTGGCTTTCTGGAAGCACCATCTCCATTGTTTCTTCCTCCTGCACTTCAGTTAGGGACTCTTGTGCACCATCTGCACAAGTCTCGTTGTCCTTTTGAAAGCCTGGCCCAGGACTTGTGCATTGCTCTTCGTACGAGATCATCTCAGTCAGAGGCTCTGCTGTGATTTCGACAGGCTCAGGCATTATCTCTGCGATTGCAGATTGGCTAGTGATTGCCGGGCTCATGGCCTTAGAGAGAGCCAAATAATAGAGGGCAGGCAGTCCTGACAGGAAGGCTAAATACTTGTGCCGTAAAGTTGTCTCCAGTTTCTGAATGGCTCCCTCAGACAGGCATCGGGACAACTTAGTAGGTTCAATGATAGCACCTGGTGAGGTCTGTGAGGGCACAACTTTCTGATGTAGGTCAGGATCAGTTGCTGCCTGCAGCTCTAAGGGCTTGCTTTCTGGAATGCAGGGAAATGGAGCCACTTCCAGGCCCCCAGGAATTCCACAGTCCCAGGAGATACACACACGGGCAGGTATAGTGCCCTGGTGAATCTGCCAACATTTGGAGTCAATGTGGCTCTGCAGTATTTCTTTGGCCTGGGTGAGCAAGTGTGGCATGGAGAATGACACTGGGGCCAAGGTGGGTGAGAACAGGTCACTAACCCCATTGGCCTCTGGGGCTTCAGGCTGGGAGACACTCACATTGTCCAAGGCTGTGCTGCTCCAGGGCAGGGGCTGCTGGTCAGCAGGGGACAGGAGAAACTGGATGGACTGCTTGATCTTCTGAGGCAGGCCCCAGCGATGGTAAATCAACTGCTTCTGGAGGTGGAACTCCAGCAGCCTCCGGGCATGGTCCGGGAAGAAGAGTAGTTCCCTCGTGAGGACTGAGATGGGCTTCCTTGACCAGGAAGTTTCTGTGGTCTCAGGAAACTGGGCTATGTCACAGGGCACATACTGCATGGGGCTCTGGGCATGCTGAGATCTCTGGAAAACAGCTGGCAAGTCCCACTTAAGCTGGAGCTGCCTCTGCAGCAGGTTCCACTCCAAGGCTTCACACTCGGCCAGAGTCAGAAATGGGACATTGATCTGGATTTGTTGATAGTCAGGTGGAGAGACCCAATTTGGGGTATGTGGGGAAGAAGGTGGAGCTGACTGAGGTGGATTATTAGGCAGCAGTGGGAGGAAGGAGGGCTCACTGAAGAGAAAAGGAACATTCAAGGAGGGATGGGACATGCTCCTGTTTGTGGAGTGGCCTTGATAGCCCATGTGGGCAGCAACTAGGGACTCACTGTGTAGACAAGGGAGGCCACAGAATAGTTGGCTATGCTTCTGCTTCAGATGATCCCCTGAGTCTTCAGCCTGCCCCTCAGATTGTGGATAGAGTCCATTTGGGACTTTAAGGGCTGGCAAAGGCAAAGCTAAAGCCAGAGGGTTTGGGGTTTTTTCACAGTGGTGGCTTTGTTCTGGGTCCATAATGGACCATTCAGAAACCCAGAAAGCCTGGGTGGGCTGGCCAACCATACATGAACCCCAGGTCTTGTGGGAAATGGTCCCAATTGTTTCAACACACGCATTCGAAGTATCATTCATGATGAAAGGAACTGGTTGGCTATTTCCTGGTTGGTAAAACAATGGTGCGTCTGGCATAAGCTGCCTCAGAGACTCTTCCACACGTCTGGGGAGTCCCCACCTCTGGAAATGCATCCATTTTTTTACATGGACCTCAAGGAGCCTGAGGACTTCAGGACTGAGGAATGGCAGGTGGGCAGGGAGGACATTGACCATATGAAAAGCCATAGGATGTGTCAGATTAGTGAGCTCTGTGTTCAGGGACAGCAAGGGAACATGGGATTTCAAGGGCTGCTGGCCTTGGTTCCCATGGACAAATTCATAGCTGGTATTCATCATCTCTTGCTGGTTCACAGGAAACCTAAGCTCCTCAATCCCAGAAGAAGACATAGTCTCCAGGTCCCTAGACACATCTGGCAGTTCAAATTCCCGCTGTAGGTCCAGGTGTTCAGCCCAATAATCTTGGATGTTGATCACACCGGTTGATGGGGCAGCCGTCTGAGTTAAGGATTTTTGATCTGTTAATTGTGACAGTGTGGAGGTTACAGATGCCAGTGAAAGCTCTCTGGAATGCTGGGAACGCAGCTCCAGAGTCTGCTCAAAAGAGACACTAGACATGGACAAAATCTCTAGGCAAGAGGAGCGCTGTGTTGCCCCCACTGAAGTGGGGGCAGTAGGGGCAGTCAGGGTGTTCTCACTTGTCAGCAATTGCTGAATCTCCAGATCTACATCATTGCAGATGTGGCAGCAGGGGTCTGCACACAGGAGCCGCCGCACACTTCCCTCCTGAGGAAGCCAGCCCTGGCTGGGAAGGGAAACATGGCAACCATTACTGATGCAGTATCATCTGCCTCCTTAGAAAAGTGTGGCCAGAGGATTGGCCCTGCCCTCCACTAGGCCTGTAAACCCTAGGCCTCCCTCTGGAAGTCTACTGCTTATTTTTCTCCCTAAGAAAGTGCCATTCAGCAGGTTAGGGCTGGCTGAGCTGAGGGTCTGGGTCTTGTTGGAGAAGGTCTCAGACAACCCATGGGTGGGCAGGGCCCTCCAAGAGAACTGGGAGGTGGTGTCAGTTCTCTGCAGAGCTGTGTTGTGAAGCTGGACTAGGAGAAGGGAACCAGGCAAATGAAGCATCAGGTGGTTAGCAGAATGGGCAACACCAGGAACATCTCCAGGTAGAACCTGGAGTCATTCTCGTTTGAGGCTAGGAAAGCAAACTTGTTATTCAGTGTTTCCAAAAAGGGGAAAATGAGATTCTTGTGGGAACTCTGCATTCTGGAGGCTGTGGAGTGTCCCTGGTGCTGTACACAGTATCTTTTATGAACCAATCCTGTTCTCTGGAGATCTTAACTGGATATTATGATAGGCTTCTGCTTGAGGGCTGTCCCAGGAACTGGCTCACTGAAGACAGGCCAGAGGAGGTAATGTATTTAAGGTCCAGCTAGACTTAGAGGAGTCTGCCCTGAAAGAACTGCAAAGAGAATATGACAATGACTTACTTACGCAAAATCCATTGTCTTAACTGGATAGCTTGTTTCATTGCTGAGTTCAACCCCATGTAAAGTTGCTTATGAATTACATACTAGTCAAACACTGAATTCTAGTACTATGGTGGCTCTAGTACCAAGAGCTGAACTGGGAAACTTCTCTTCTGGGATGTCTGACTCCCTTGGCCCTGGCAACCCCATCAGCCCATGAACCAGCCATTATTCCTCTCCTCATCCTTGCCCTAAGTCAAGTTGGGAAGTTATCATAGGCCAGGCTGGGACTTTGGAGACAGTCAAGAGCAAATCACCTTTTCATGACAGAGAGCAGTTCCCACGGCTTCTCAGCTTCTTTCTGGGAAGTTCTCCTAGCTAAGAAACCAGGAGATGGTGTTAGATGTGACAGGAGAGGGGCAGGGGCATCCTATAGGAAGCTGAGTAATAAGTCTTTTGACTCTTAAAGGAGAGGAAACTGAAAATTCCAAGTCATGCTCTAAGGCCTGGCTGTGTACAACTTAAGCATTTACAATGTGCTGACCCATAGCTAAATTCTTTTGATCTTTACAACCATAATATGAGTGAGGCAGGATCGTCAGTGTTAGGCCCATTTTCTGGATAATAACACTGAAGGATTAAGTGACTTTTACAGGATAAATAAACTAGTAAATAACACAGTTAAGGACTTTTTCCCTATCCTTGTTTCTCATTCCCAGGGGAGTAAGGTAGAGAATTTGGGAATATCCCCAGGCTCTGATATCCCATCCAAGGAAGTTTCTGTGAGAAGGTGTCAATTTATGGAATTGGACACTCAGTGATTAGAGTGCCTCTCTCCTGGCACCAAGGGTTACAGAGGGTCAGGATCGACGGGAACCTCTCCCACAGTGATGGGGAGTCAGAGGAGAGATTGGGACTTTACCTCTTGATGCTGCATCGCGAGCCCTTTGTCTGACTCTTCGGTGTCGCTTAAAGACAAAAAGAATTTGAAGCTGGAACATCATTTTCTTTTAATATTAAAATGAGATAAAACCCATAAACATTTCTCAGTCCCTTTCTATATATCTTTCTATATTTTATATATTCTTCTACTTTTCCTTTCCCTAGTCCACCTTATTTTTTTTTATTTGACTGTGGTAAAATATAACAAAACATTTGCCATTTTAACCATCTGTAAGTGTACAATTCAGTGACATGAATTACATTTACTCTATTGTGCAACCATCGCCATGATCCATTTCCAAATCCTAGTCTACTTTTCATCCCAACATTTCCCTTCTCTGTTCATTTCTGACTCACTTCAAGGGTCTTCCATACTCCATACCTTCCACCCCATACCCAGGAGAAGTTCTGTAGGGTGCCTAGGATGACACAGGAGGAAGAGTGGAACAGATGAAAAGGTGATTGGTTCCAGTAGCCAAAGGCTTCAGCTTACAAATGCCTTAAAGAAACACCAACCAGAAAAATTACCCTAACGGGGAAGTCTTCTGAGATCCAGTGAGGTAGACTTTCTAATCTTTCAGGTCTCAACCCTAAGCCAGGTAGAGATGTTCTTGCTTTCAATTAGAGTATGCTGCAGGGAGGACCTGGCAAGCACCTGGATCTGAGAAGTAAATGACTATGCAAGAGTAACTGAAGGTTTGGTATAAAAAAATTGGGGGCATAGGTGACAAAGAAAGAAAACGAGGGTTTAAAATCTTCTTGTCTGAGAAGTAACAGTTCAGTAGTGGTCAGAGTGTTTCCCTACCTGGCAGCTGCTCTTGATAGGTTCCAACCTTAATCCATGGTGACTCCTTTTCACTTGCCAAATAATTAGGATAATGATGAAGAAGATGGAGCCATAGGTACATAAGGGATATACAACATCCCACAGAACAAATGTAGGACTCAACATGGTCTAAGCGTCATTAGCATGAGGAGACCAGTCATCCCTCTATCTAGGCTTCCAGGGTACTGGTACCTAACGACTCCCAGTGTTAAGCTTTGTCATGTCTTCCTCACAGGTGACAGAACCAGAACATCGACTGCATCACAAAGCCCTCCTGTTTCACAAGGCAGGTATGGTGTCAAAGGCCTTCATTTGTCTCAGGGAAGCTCATGTGGTGTTTTGGTTTGTAGATGAAGACATCTGGTTATCTGTGAGGGTTTCAGAGTCTGCAGCTAAAGGTGCCATGGTTACAGGCAGTGTCTACACTCCCATTCTCTCTCCATTCTCCATACCCTACACTAGCCTGATGACTCAGCTCTCTCTGTTACGACAACAGTTTGGTCACCCATCGCCAGAAACTGAGTATTTAAGTACACAAGGCACCTTATAAGACAGAGTAGCTAGGACAGAGGAACTTCCACCAATCCCTTCACTCATACTGGAAACTTACCTGAAAAGTACACAAGAGGTTAGGGTAGGCAGAGTCTGGTTAAGGCTTGAAAATGGAGAGCTTTGATGTTACAAGCAATAGGCGACTGGTAATCAGAGGTGCAGGAAGGGGACCAAAGCTGATGTGACAGGAAAAGACCAAGGCAGCATTTATCTTTAAATGACATTGTGGGAGCAAGGAAGGGATGTCCCCAGTCTGTGTGGGTGGCAAAAGATTGTAAACACTCCTCTTATAGAGGCACAGGAATGAGCCTCACCTCTGGAGGCCTGTCCAAGGCCTGGTTTTTCAGAGCTACCTTTACAGATGTTACAGCCTTTGCTTGCTCAGGGAGATGACTACCTGCAGAGATGGGTTGGTGGCCACGTTCAACTAAAGGCCACAAACTGGTTGTTTATGGTTGGATCTACTCATCCAATCTGGTTGTATGCTGTTTGACTAAAGGATTTTTTTTTCTTTAATTATAATCCAGTTTATAAACTTTTATCAGAGCAGGTGTTTTCCAATTCAGCCCCAGTACCCAGCACTCCTACACTCCACAGAAAGGTCTTGCCTTGGTGAGAGTGAAGAGGCTATTTGGTTCTTCCTCCAGCCTCCACCAGCAGGCGTGGGGAGCACTCAATATGTCCCCAGCCCTGTGCAGTGTCAAGGGGACAAAGCCATTTGAGCCATGTTGCTGGTCTGTTCTCAAGATACTTGTCATGGATTGAATTGTGTCCCCTCAAAATATGTGTCCAGTTGGCTAGGCCATGATTTCCAATATTGTGTTTTTGTCCCCATTTTGTGATCTGGTATAATTGTCCTATGTACTGTAAATACTAATCTCCGCTTGTGGTTAATGAGGCAAGATTACATTTTGTTAAAGAGAATTAGGGTGAGATGTAACACCCGTACTCAGGTCAAATGCTTGATCTGATGTAAGGGGAGTTACCCTGGGGTGTGGACTGCATCACCTTTTATCTTATAAGAGATAAAAGGAGAGAGAAGTGAGCAGAGAGAGGGGGCCCTCCTACCCCTAAGGAAGAAGAGCTGGGACAGAGTGTGTCTTTTTGACCTGGGGTCCATGCACTGAGAAGTTCCTAGACCCAGGGGAAGATTGGTGCCAAGACACATAAAGATATCCAAGGAACGCTGGGCCCACAGATGTTTAAAGGAGACAAGGACCATACCCCAAAGCTGACAGAGAAAGCCTTCTCCTAGAGCTGGTGCTCTGAATTGGACTTCTAGCCTCCTAAACTGTGAGAGAATAAATTTCTGTTTTTTAAAGCCATCCACTTGTGGTATTTCTGTTATAGCATCGCTAAATAACTAAGAAATCTGGTACTGGGAGTGGGGTGCTGCTCTAACAGTTACCTAAAATGTATAAGTGGTTTTGGAATTGGGTAATGGGTAGAGGCTGGAAGAGTTTTAAGGTGCATAACAGTAAAAGCCTAGATTGACTTGAAGAGACTGTTGGTGGAATTATGGATGCCAAAAGCAATTCTAATGGGGGCTCAAAAGAAAGTGAAGAGAGCTGTAACACTGGAGATGGCACAGACAGGGAGAAGCAGTGGTAGAGAAATGTTAGCAGCAGAACCAAAAGACTGGTGAGAGATGGTGTGGGAGCTGACCCACAGAGTGAGACAGCTGAGTGCCTTTGGGCCAAGAGGCTGAGGAACCAGAAAGCAGAAGCTGAAGAGACAAGGAGCATGGGAAGCAGAATTGCCTCAGTTTCAAAGGGTAGAGCCATGACCTCTGGAGTCTCAAACAGTGGGGCCATGGCCTCTGGGGTTTCAAAGGGTGGGGCCACAGCCTCTTAGGTTTCAAAGAGCCAGATCTTCACCAACTCGGTCCCAGAGTGTGGGGCTTCCATTCACAAGTGCCAGGGGGATGGCACTGGATCCACTGCCCAAAGCTGAGGGGGTAGGGATGCGATCCCCAAGAGGCAGAAGAATGGGGCCTGCCAGGACTGAGGGAGTGGGGTTGCCACTCAGTCGAACTAAGAATGGGGCTGCCCTAAGCCAAGGGAGCAGAGTTTCCATCCCAGTGGGCCTGGAAGGCAGAGTTGAAGCCCAGGGCCGAGGGGCCTCCATCCAGAATCCAGAGAGCACAGCCAACATCCAGAGTCTGGAGGGAAGGGCTACTGCCTAGATGGTCTCAGAGAACAGAGGATTATTTTCAAGCCTTGAGAGCTAATGTAAATCGTTCTGCTGGGTTTTTGACTTGCTTGGTGACTGTTATTCCTTTCCTCCCTCCAATTTCTCTCATTTGTAATGGAAATGTCTACCTTGTGTCTGTTCCACCATTGTACTCTGGAAACAGATAACTTATATTCTAGATTTCACAGGTTCATAGATGAACAAGAATTTTGCCCCAGGAAGGAATTTGGACTTGGAGTTGATTTAAGGCTTTTGGGATGACATGATGGGGTGAAAGTATTTTACATGTGTCAAGGACATGAATTTTGGGGGGCAAAGGGTAGAATGTCATGGATTGAATTGTACCCCCCCAAAATATGTGTCAACTTTGGCTAGGCCATGATTTCCAGTATTGTATGCTTATCCTCCATTTTGTGATCTGATGTAATTGTCCTATGTATTGTAAATCCTAATCTCTGCCTGTGGTTGATGAGGCAAGATTAGATTATGCTAAAGAGGATTCGAGTGAGATGCAACACTCTTAGTCAGGTCACAGCCCTGATTTGATGTAAGGGGACTTGCCCTGAGGTGTGGTCTGCATCACCTTTTATCTTACAAGAGACAAAAGGAGAGAGAAGCAAGCAGAGAGGGGGGACGTATGATCACCAAGAAAGACGAGCTGGGAACATAGTGCGTCCTTTTGACCCGGGCTTTCTGTGCTGAGAACCTCTTAAACCCAGGGCAATATTGATGAGGACCTTCCCCCACAGCAGAGAGGAAAGCCTTCCACTAGAGCTAGCACCCTGATTTTGGACTTCTAGCCTCCTAAACTTTTAGGGAATAAATTTCTGTTTGTTACAGCCATCTACTTGTGGTATTTCTGTTATAGCAGCACAACTAGTGAAGTGTGTATATGTATGTATGTATAAATAAATAAATAAATATCTCAAGGAAATGGCTCAAGTGGTTGTGGAGGCTGGCAAGTCCCAAAGTTCATGGGTCAGGTGTCGACTGGAGGCTTCTCCTGACTCACGTTTGCAAGGGTTGACAAACCCAAAATCAGCAGGTCAGGTAGCAGGCTGCTGGCTCTCGGTGCTGCAGACTGGAGAATCCCAAAGTCAGCAGGTCAGACAACAAACTGCTGGCTCAAGTTCCAAGAACCAGAGGTCAGATGATGATGAGCTGGAAATACAATTCAGAGCAAGCAAGTGAGCTTTGCCAGAACATCCATATATATATTGGGTTCAGGCCACAACCCCAGGGAAACTCCCCTACAACTGATTGGCTGTTCACATCAGTTCACATCATGGATGTGATTACATTATATCACAAAATGGAGGATAATTACATAATAGTGAGAATCATGTCCTAGCCAAGTTGACACATAGCATTAACTATCACAATCCTTAAAACATTTCAAAGATCGGACCAATTCACACGAAGAAAGAGCCAACAATTGAGAACAAATAGAATTATGTACTTATTTTTGAGGCCCAGGTCACAAACATCACATTTCAGAAGAGAGAAAGAGTAGTGAGGATCAGGGTGGCCAGAAAAGTCTCTTGAGGAAAGCAGCCTTGGTGCTGAGTCTAAAAATGGAGGCTGTGAGGAAAAGGAGAGTGTTGCAGGTCAGAGAGAAACTTATACACAATGGTAGAAGGTGAGGAATGGGCCATGGACTTCATTTGGTAGTAGGAAATGCAGTCAATCTCTTCCAGAGGTACAGTTGTGCAGATTGGAGAGGAATTGTAAGGAAAGATTAGAGGAGCAGGGATGAGGCCTCTTAAAATGGAGGGCCTTGGCATTTATTTTATTTCAACCACTAAAATTAATTGATTTTTAAAAGTAGGCATACACATACATGATATAAAATTCAAAAGGCATGAGAAGGTACATAGTATGTCTCCTTCTGACACTTGTCTCCCATCTCCCAGTTTTCTTCACTGTGTGTGTTTCAGAACTAATTTAGAATGGGAAGCATAAATAAATTGATGTGTTTTTCTTTACAAGTGGGAGCATATGATAGATAATTTCCCCTTATTTCATTTGATAATATAAATATATCTTGTCCATATCATTTTATTTAATGACTGTCCAGTCTTTTATTGTTTGTTTGTTATGGAAAACACCACCTAAAAGTGTATTTAAATGTTTTACACTTATTTGGTTTTGTGAAGTTTGAATAATAAATATATATATTTTTAATTTAAGTGATATTTACATAATATAAAATTAACCATTTTAAAGTGTATAATTGAGTGGCATTTAGTACATTCACAGTGGTATGTAACCACCACCTCTAGCTAGTTCCAAAACATTTTCATCACCTAGAGACTATTCCAGGGAGCCCGGGTAGTGCAGTGGTTAAGTGCTTGGCTGTTAAGCAAATGGTCATGGGTTCG